AAAATGGCAGTGTCATCAGCACGTTTCATAATATAAATTATTCAAAAGGGGTGCTCCGGCAATCATTCATGTAAAAAGCAAAAAAGCACAGGCGATGAAACACAACCTTGTGGCACTCCTGTATTACTATATCTAACCTCAGAAAGTATCCCATTGACCCTTACCTGCTGAGCTCTGTTACTTAAAAAAAGGGTAAAACCATTTGATTAAGAAAGTACTGATGTCTTGCAACTTCTCTAAAAGCAGATGTGTCTGCACTGCCGGCAGCCATCTCTCTGCAACTTTCACATGGTTGCCCACTGAAGCTAAGCAGGGCTGCGCCCGGTAAGTACCTGGATGGGAGACCACATGGGAAAGCTAGGAAGTGGTGTTAGTGAGGCCAGCAGGGGGCGCCCAACCTGCGGTCTGTGTGGGTCCTAATGCCCCAGTATAGTGACGAGGACGCTATACTGCTCAGTGAGCGCCGTCTTTCGGATGAGACGTTAAACCAAGGACCTGACTCTCTGTGGTCGTTAAAAATCCCAGGATGTCCTTTAAAAAAAGAGTAGGGGTTTAACCCCGGCATCTTGGCCAAAATCTGCCCACTGGCCTCTGTCCATCATGGCTTCCTAACCATCCCCATATTCCAATTGGCTTCATCTCTGTCTCCTCTCCACCTATCAGCTGGTGTGCGGTGTGGCGCAAAATGGCTGCCATCGCGTCATCCAGGTGGATGCTGCACACTGGTGGTGGATGAGGAGATTTTCCCCCCATTGTGTAAAGCGCTTTGAGTGCCCAGAAAAGTGCTATATAAATGTAAGGAATTATTATTATTATTATTATTATTATTATTATTATTATTATTATTATTAAATGCTGAACTAAAATTCAGCTTTTTTTCAATTCAGCTTTATTTGTATAGCGCTTTTACAATGTAGATTGTGTCAAAGCAGCTTCACATAAATGGTCATAGTAACTGGAACAGTGTGGTTCAGGTTTTAGTGTTTAAGTTCAGTTCAGTTCAGTTTAGCTCAGTTCAGTGTGAAAATCAACAAAGAAAATACAAGCATAAGCTTCAGTATTCTCAAGATGCTTGGACACAAGATGAACAATGCTAAGAGCGGCATCTTCAGTGCTTTTATTCTGCCTATAGGCAAACTGACATGTATCTAAGAGTGGCTTTACCTCTTTTTCCAGCAATGAGGTTACAAATTTCCCAAAGCACTTCATAACATTGGAAGTTAGTGCCACAGGACGAAGGAATTTCTTCTGTTGACCACAGAACAAGTTATGAGGAATGTCACTGTCATTCATTATGTTTTTATAAGATGACACTCATGACTGGTTTTGTGGTTCAGGGACACCTTATTAAAATTAAAAGCGATGGAAGCGTAAGATGTGATGCTAACCCTTGTGCAGCGTGATCTCCATCATGATTCTGTCCTGGGCTTTTGCTGGGTTAATCAGGCAGTTGTATTCCCCCAGATCAGCGCTGACTCGACTGATAGCGGTGCTGGAGCTCAGTGATCTGGATCTGCAGAGCTGAGACGCCTGGCCATGACTTCCCATCACTGCGCCCACCCGCAGACTCGTCCTGACCACCAGCGTCAGCAAACCCTTCTTCACTTGCTTCAGAAAGAGACACACAGGTTACTGCTTTTGACAGATTCCTGACAGATCAAGATGTTCTCTAGGTGGTTTAATTAACAGATACATGGCTCTTTGTTTTTTGGACTTTGTGAAGTGTTTGCTTTTTTTTTTTCTAAATTGCATAATAAAAATAAGTTATTTAAATGTAAATTTTATTGACAGTGACGATAATGGCTTTTTAACCTTTTCATCTACTTTTCAATGCCTTGGACTTATCATTTTTTTGTGTATTCTAATAAATCGCTTATCCAAAGAGCATCAATTACCCCTAAAACACTTTTTGCAACCCAGGCTCATTTGGAAAACGTATCCCTATATACATTTCTGGAGAGCGCCAAAATGTCCCAGGAGCTACTTTTTTTTTTTTTTTTTGCAGTTTTTTTTTTTTTTTTGCAGTTTTTGTTTTTGCAAATTTCTCAAGTTAATCCACCAGAGGCCGCTGTCAACTCACTGACTGACTGAACCACCTCTTTCCCTCAGCCCAACCAATAGTGATTTCAAAAGCACCTATTGACCATCGCCCACCCACTTCCCTTAACCCAACCATCAGTTTTAAAAAGCAATCCAGAAATAGAAAAGCCCTCGACTAATTTTTACCACGTTTTCAGATTTTATCACATTTTCACCCTGTTATTTACTTTACTAGCCATAAGTACTTCTGGCTACATAATTCACGATCTCCAGAAATAAATTGCAATTTAAGTTTAAATAGTATGTACTGTCATCATGGCAAAGACAAATCAAATTAGTTAATATAAATTAGTTATTTAAACTATTATGTTGACAAAAAGTGTTAAAAAATCAGTTTCTCAATTTAGAACACAATTATTTGTGTTCTAGGGCGAGGCAGTGGCGCAGTAGGTAGTGCTGTTGCCTCACAGCAAGAAGGTCGCTGGGTCGCTGGTTTGAACCTTGGCTCAGTTGGCGTTTCTGTGTGGAGTTTGCATGTTCTCACTCCCTTCGCGTGGGTTTCCTCCGGATGCTCCGGTTTCCCCCCACTGTCCAAAGACATGCGGTACAGGTGAATTGGGTTGGCTAAATTGTCCGTAATGTATGAGTGTGTGTGTGAATGTGTGTGTGGATGTTTCCCCGAGATGGGTTGCGGCTGGAAGGGCATACGCTGCGTAAAAACTTGCTGGATCAGTTGCCGGTTCATTCCGCTGTGGCGACCCCAGATTAATAAAGGGACTAAGCCGACAAGAAAATGAATGAATGCATGAATTTGTGTTCTAATAAAAATGGTAATTTCATCATTTCATGTCCTCAACTGATTTTTACCACATTTTATCACATTTTCACCCTGTTATTTACTTATTTTTTGGCTACCTGCTTTCTAGAACCGTTCTTCGCTGCACTCGAACCCCGTCGTCGTGCTTAGCTCCTCTCTGCGCCTTAAGTCCGCCAACATACATAGCGAACTACCAGACAAACTGTTAACAGCGGTGGAGCTGTTCATACGGAGGTAAGCGGTCAGCCGATAAGTGTGAAAAGGAATATTACTGCCCATCATACTGCCCCATAGTGTTCATTTTGAATAATTATTATAATAATTAAAGCTGCAAGCAGTGATGAAAGGGACCTCGCACCCAGGCTCACCACCTCCTGCTGGCTTTAGAATGTTATTTAAAAAAAAATAAAAAATCTTTATTTGGAAAGGACAGTAGAGGTTGCAGACAGGAAAGTATTGGGAGCAGAGAGAGGGGAAGGGTCGGCAAAGGACCTCGAGCCGGAAATCGAATTCGGGTCGCCGTAAGCACCATGGTGCTATATGTCGGTGCACTTAACTACTAGGCTATTGGCTGCGACCCCTGCTAGCTTTAGGATGACACAGAACAGCGGACAATATTAATTTAAGATGATATATATATATATATATATACATATAAAACCTGAAAAAATCTCAGATTTAAAATATAATGCCTGGAAATATAATGCCACTTTTTTGGTGCAGGAAATTGAAAATATCTGACTTCCTTTTGGGTTTGAGATTTTGCTCCAAGAGACTTTTTTTGTAGGTTTTGGCATGTTTGAGGTGTGTGCCAATTTTTGTACGTGTGCGTGAATGTAGCTCAGGGGCCAGTCCGTCAAAAGTGCATACGAGTCATTTTGCCATGCCTATTTCTAAAACCTATAACAAACGTAAATTTTCGCCACTACTGGGGCATGTGCAAAGTTTCGTGAGTTTTTGGGCATGTTTACACCCTCAAAATTGCGATTCATTCCGGAGAAGAATGAATTTTAATTGGTTTTTAGTTGGTTACAGAACCACTGTTGTTCTAACTGTTGTCCCAAACTTGCCTAGTTAAACTAATTAACCTAGTTAAGCCTTTAAATTTTAAATAGTATGTACTATCATCATGGCAAAGACGAATAAAATGAGTTAGTATAAATTAGTTATTTAAACTATTATGTTGATAAAAAGTGTAAAAAAAAATCAGTTTCTCAATTTAGAACACAATTATTTATCTTCTAATAAAAATGGTAATTTCATATAATTTATGCATGAATATCTGAAAACTGTGAATATATGTACAAAATAACTTTCTTTACTGTATATATAATTTATTATTCAGTTTATAAAGCACAATCGCCTCACAGCAAGAAGGTCGCTGGTTTGAGCCGGGTCAGCTGGCATTTTTGTGTGGAGTCTGCATGTTCTCCCCATGTTCGTGTGGGTTTCCTCCGGGTGCTCCGGTTTCCCCTGCAAGTCCAAAGACATGCGGTACAGGTGAATTGGGTAAGCTAAATTGGCCGCAGTGTATGAGTGTGTATGGATGTTTTCCAGTGATGGGTTGCAGTCGGAAGGGCATCTGCTGCATAAAACATGTGCTGGATAAGTTGGCAGTTCATTCCTCTGTGACGACCCCTGATTAATAAAGGGACTAAGCCGAAAAGAAAATGAATGAATTAAAATATTTTAACACTTTTATGTATTATTTACAAACTTGGGCTCTAAAAAATATACAATATTATGTACAGATGTAGGATGGCATGATGGCTCAATCACTTTCGCGTCACAGCCCTCCTGGTTCGAGTTCCAGCTGGGTCAATTAGCATTTCTGTGTGGAGTTTGTATGTTCTCCCCGTGTTGAGATTAACTTAATTAGCCATAGTGTATGAGTGTGTGTGTGAATGTGAGTGTGTGTCTGTGTGTTTGAATGTGAGTGTGCATAGGTGTTTCTTAGCACTAGGTTGTGGCTGGAAGGTCATCCGCTGTGTAAAAGACATGCTGGAATATTTGCCGGTTCATCCTGCTGTGGCGACCACTGATAAATCAGAGACTAAGCCAAAGGAAAATGAATGAATCAATGAATTTAGGAGTTACTCACTTTAAATTTGTGTAAGGCATCTTCGTGTGTTAAACCATGCAGAGATTCACCGTTCAGTTCTAGTATCTCATCTCCTGTTAAACAGAAACACTTCATATAGTTTTCTATTCACTGCTGGGTGATGCAGGTGTGAGTGTATATGGTAATTTAAGGTATTGTTTTTTTTTTTTTTTTTTTGATCGAGGTAATGATTTTTGAGGTAAGCATCTGAATACATAATATCATTATCAGTTACAGTGTGATATTTTAACTAGTGGTTCCACCTTCCTGTAGTCTTCCGTCAGCAGCTGCTGCACCTCCAGGAAAGATGGTCTTCACATAAATCCCCATTGGGCCGTACATGCTGTCTCTGCCTCCTACAATGCTGAAGCCCAAACCCTGGAAGAACAGGGGAGGTTTGTGATGAGAATACAATACATCATATTATTTGTTAAAAAGCGATTTTATCATCTGATCATATCTGGTTCAGAAACGTATTAACATACATTAAACCTTTACTTTCTCACAAGGTTGCTTGGGATTTCAGAATGTTCTTTATAGTTTTACAATTTTATTGACCTTTCAGAGTCTTCTTCTTAGAATGTTCTTCACACTTTTATATTGTTCTTCACACTTTCAGAACCTTCTTCACATTAATTTAGAATGTTCTTTACACTTTTAGAATGTTCTTCTCACTATTAGAATCTTCTTCTCTATTTAAGAATGCACTTCATGCTTTTAGAATGTTCTTCACATTATTTTACAATGTTCTTTACACTTTTAGAACGTTCTTAACACTTTTAGAATGTTCCTCACTTTATTTTAGAATGTTCTTCACAGTTTTAGAATGTTCCTCACATTATTTTAAAATGTTCCTCACATTATTTTACAATGTTCTTTACACTTTTAGAACGTTCTAAACACTTTTAGAATGTTCCTCACATAATTTTAGAATGTTCTTCACACTTTTATAATGTTCCTCACATTATTTTAGAATGTTCCTTACATTATTTTACAATGTTCTTTACACTTTTAAAATGTTCTTCACACTTTTAGACTGTTCTTCACACTTTTAGAATGTTCTTCATTTTATTTTACAATGTTCTTTACACTTTTAGAACGTTCTTCACACTTTTAGAATGTTCCTCACAATATTTTAGAACATTCTTCACACTTTTAGAATGTTCCTCAGGCTTTTGCAATGTTCTTCATGCTTTGAGAATGTTCTTTATCCTTTTCGAATGCTCTTTATGCTTTTTGGATGTTCTTCATGCTTTAAGAATATTCTTTATGCTTCTAGAATGTTCTACTAATTTTTTATAATGTTCTTCACACTTTTAGAATGTTCTTTACACAATTTTTTAATGTTATTTGTGGTTTCAGAATGTTCTTCATGTTTAAAATGTTCTTCACATTACTTTAGAATGTTCTTTGTGCTTTTAGAACGTTCTTCAAACTTCAACAACGTTCTTCACATTTCAGGACGTTCTTCATGCTTTTAGAATGTTCTTTACACTTTTAGAATGTTCTTTACATTATTTTACAATGTTCTTTACACTTTTAGAATGTCCTTTTAGAATGTTCTTTGAACTTTTAGACTGTTCTTCACACGTTTAGAACGTTCTTTGAACTTTTATTATGTTTTTCATACTTTTAAAATGTCCTGCAAACTTTTAAAATGTTCTTCACACGTTTAGAATGCTCTTGACACTTTTAGAATGTTTAGAATATTCTCTTTATTTTTGAACGTTCTTCATGTTTATAATGTTCTTCACATTACTTTACAATGTTTTTCATGCTTTTAAAATGTTCTTCACATCATTTAAAAATGTTTTTTCCTGCTTTTGGAATGTTCATACATTTAGAATGCTCTTTACATGCTCAGAATGTTATTATTTTAGAATTTTCTTCATGCTTTTTAGAATGGTCTGCATTTCTAGAATGTTCTTCATGCTTTTAAAATGTTCTTTATACTTTCAGAATGGTCTTTACGCCTTTAGAAGGGTCTTCAGACTTGTAACATTAAGGAAGTCTCTACTAAAAGTTTTTTTTTTTTTTTTTTTTTATGGAACTCGAAATGGTTACTTCACAAAAACAACTTGTTTTTGCTCCTTAGAATGAATGTCCTTTTGATTACCTTGCCGTGGCCCTTCATGAGGACGATGTTAGAGATGATAAAGGCCTGAACGCTGCTGCAGGAAGGGACCAAATGTGCAGAACTCAAAGAGCGAGACGGTCGAACCACAGCCTGCAGAGACCGAGGACAGCACTAATAATCAGTTAAGCAGGTCAGGGGGCCAAAAAGGACAATATGAGATGATTTCATTTCACAAAATTCTGCTACACAGAGCAGATGTGTTCAGTGTTACACGTCCATTCCCATGACGTTCATTAAAAGAGCCACTTTGCTGATGGTTTAGAGGGAAAGCACTTTGCCGAGAGCACTTCTAGAGAAGGAGAGAGGTTTCCAGCACTTACTGCAACAGCCATTTATTTGATTACCAGTATAATAACGACCTTATCAAATAAAGTGCAACAGCTGAAAGGCAATTCACCCTTAACTGCTGTGCTCTCATTCAAAACAAGTGCTCAACTTGGGGAAAAAAAAAAAAACTGTTCCAAGTTTTTTTTTTTTTTTTTTTTTTAAGTGTGAACATCTGCATCTTCTTCACTAAGCACCCATTATCCAGTTGAACACTTTAAGCACTTTTTAGACACAGGTGAAGCACCTTTTCCCCAGATTATACTGTAGTTACACTCAAAAGTGACCTGCGAACTCGGGAACTGTAGTCTACTAAGCAAATGCAAAAATTTAACACCCGAAACACCTCAGCCACCCTAAGCAACAGCCAAAAGAGGATTCTGCTCACTCTTAAAGCCTTTGATGGTTATTTTCACAATTTATTATGGCATGGCAGTCAAAATTGTACAAATGAGCTCATATAAGGGACAAGTGATGGACCTTTGTCAGTGAGGGGTACCCAACCCCCCCGGCTTAATAATAATAATAGTAATAATAATTTAAAAAATAAATGATATTAAATCTTTACAATATATTTAAAAAATTGACCCAGCAGTCCAGGATTCGTGTTTGTTTTAGCGCAATTTAACACAGAAGAAGGCCAAATTCGCGCATTATAAGCGGACCTGGCAACCCCTGTACAGCGCTCTTCTCACTCACCTGCGGGACACTGTGCGGAAACTCCAGCTGCTGAGAGAGACTCTTCCTGTTGCCGTAAAAGGCCGCGGTGTTGTGGGCGGAACACGGGAAAAGCTCCGGCGTCTTCATAATGATGGTCTCCAAGTCTCCGATCCAGTACGGGTGAACGCCTAAAACCACGTGGAGTTACATAACGTGTAAGTACAGTACGGTTTAGTGCACTGCTGTAAAGCTGGACATCATCTGTGTGCAAATGTGACCATAGACCAAAAAAACAGTCATAAGTGTCATTTTTTGGGGGAATTGTGATTTATCACTTGCACATACAAGCGGAATAGCCTAAATAAGTTTCTGTTGACTTGTGGTTGGCTAGGATAGGACAATATTTGGTTGAGATACAAATATGTAAACATCTGGAATCATCTGAAAGTTCAAAAACAACCAAAATAATGTGAAAATCGCCTTAAAAGTTGTCAGAATTTAAAGGACTCTTGGGAATATTACTAGTCAAAATTTGTGACATGTTTATAAATTTACAAAATGTCCTTATCTATGTCTAAATGAACATGATCTTAAAGGGATAGTTCACCCTAAAATGAAAATTCTGTTATCATTTACTCAACTTTTATTCGTTTAAACCTTTTATGCACTGTAAAAAATGCTGCGTTCCACATAACTGCTTTTTATTGTGTTTCCCAACACAAACTGATTAAGGTAACTTAATAGTTTATACAAATTTGGCTGGAATGAACATAAAACAATTTCATTGTCCCCCCAAAAAGCTTGATTGTGTTGTTTTAACTCATTTTAAGTAAGTAGTTTGAACAAGCAGCAAAAGTATATTTTAAGAGTGAGTTTCTTTCTTTGCTGATCACAAAAAATGTTGGAAACTTGTAACCATTGACCCCCATAGTGTTTGTTTTTCCTACTATCGAAGTTGATGGGCAGGGCCGGATTAACCCATGGGCATTATGGGTACAGGCCCAGGGGCCCATGCGCACTTGGGGCCCCTGCAAGTGGGGAAAAAATACTGATTTTGGAGTGTCTATTTAGGCTAAGTGCAAATAGCGCACCTTGTTGGAATAAACTATTTAAGTGATTCCTGCCCTTCACTGTTTGATCGACAGATACAACTACTAATGAGCGCACCTGACAGCAGCGTGAGTTGCGTAGCTCGTAAAGTGCATGGCAACATGTTTTGAAGCAATTGATCATGATTCGGTTCGAATCCAGCGTCCGACGAACTCATTTTTTTTCTTCATTACATATCAGTCTGAAAATACGTTTAATTTTAATAGAAAGGAAATATTTTTGTTTATAAATGAAAATAATGAAAATGTGATATAAAGTCACAAGTGGCTCCTGGGTATTTCATAAGGTTTAGGTTATTTCATATGTGTGCAAACAGCATTTAAATAGTTATTTTAAATATACTGTAAACAGTTATTTTCCATCTGGTGTTAAATGTTAGCGACATTATTATTATAATTAGAATTATTATTATCTTTATATATAAATTGGCCGAAAATGACATCATGTATAATCAATAAAAAGTGTGTTTTTCATTATTGTGTTTCAACTAAACAGAATGCTGTATTTGGTCAAGAGCGGAACCGTCTGTTTTGAAATGACCCGCGCTGAATTGAGCGGACTGTAGTGTAATAGTTGTCGTAGATCAAAATAAGTGGACAAGTGGATTTATCAAATACGAGTGAGAAAGAGATGACTGAGGCAACTTTATTGAGGCATGTTCCATGTATACACACACCTTCTTCAAACAGACCCATGACGAGGAGAATGAGGGTATAGACCAATTTCACGCGGCCGTCTTTTTAAACAGCGAAATCGAGGCTGCGGTGGGAAGAAACCACGGAAGTATCGCCTGAGTCACACAGAAATGTTGTGTATCTGTCTGTATATCTTATCAGCGAAGAGAAAGTGACACCAATTTATAATTTCACCACCTTCCGAGTGACCCAAAGGTCTGCTTTGAATGAATGGTGAAAATAAAAAGAGATATTGGACTTCATTTTCTGCTAAGTTAAGGGAAATTGCAGTAGTTAGCTAACGTTTTCTTTCCCAAACACACGTTTGAGATGCCATTTTTATCAAACTTGAATTAATAAACTGATTCTTTCACTCTATATTAGATTTGTCACGATGCAAAATTTCAGAACTGAAATGTAAAAAAACCCATCCATTTCCCATTAACATTTAAGCACTGTTGATGGCGTTCTCAAACAGCGCTGATTAGTCATGGTGTTCACGTGTTCAACTGAAATGATTAATTGGCCGAGAGGGTCATCAGTTCACCCACCGATGTTTACAGAGTCCAAACACAGACGAGCGATCTGCTGATGAATTGACTGATCTTCACGGCTTTAAAACGCTCCAATGACCGTCTATCAGTGTTTGCAATCTGTGAAGAGCGGTATACTGATGACCTTCACAGCCAATCACAGACATTTCTGTTGAGCACTGGTGAACACTCTAGCTGCGTCCCAAATCGCATACTTATGCACTATTCTATGCCATTTTGTAGTATAAATAGTGTAAGTAGTGCGTTCACACTGAAAACACTAAAAATAATAAGTGCACTTCAATTACCCGAATGATGCACTCATTCAGCCGCTAAAATGAAGTGTGGAATGATGGACACTTCATGCACTCAACGACCGCAGGTTTGCTTACGTAGCGGAAGGGGCGGAGCTATCAGACGCACATGTTGAATAACTTTATTTATTTTGGATGGTGAAAGCAAAATTCTCCTACGAGAGTGATTATAGCGCCTCCCGATGGTGAATGCGGCAACACTCACGGCAGGTTTTATTTGATAGTTTGGTCATTTATTTTTAATGATTTGGCAACCGTCAAACGTCATCAGGGAAACGGTTTGAATTTCTGCTTAGTAAAAAAAAATTAGTGTGCCATTTGGGACAACACTACATACATATACTATCCTGTTGAGTGTGTAAGTGCATAAGTACATAGTGCATGAGTGCATAGTGTATAGTGTGCCATTTGGGACGCAGCTTATGGCAAATCATCAGTGTTTATGATCATGTTTAGCAGCGCTTCAATGTTAGCGAAAATGGACGTTTTTAAAACTTCAGTACCGGGACAACACTATTACGGACAACACGAGGGTGTGCTACAGAGGACTGCAGTGTTTTATTGCTGCCCAGGTTACATAGGCTGAAGCCGGGAAGCGTCCCCACTGTGTTTACCTGCTGCCATGAACTGAAACCTTTGAGGACACTTAAGCGTATTACCCTTAAAGAGATAGTGATTTTGTTTGATGCCTAATATGCTTTTATTTGTTTAAATTAAATTGAACTGAATGATATTAAAGTGATGTTTAAAACATTTCGCAAACAAATCGCAGCATTTAAAATGGCGGCCGCGTGAAATAAGTGTATAGAAGACGTTATGGTGGGCGAAGCAGTGGCGCAGTAGGTAGTGCTGTCGCCTCACAGCAAGAAGGTCGCTGGGTTGCTGGTTCGAGCCTTGGCTCAGTTGGCGTTTCTGTGTGGAGTTTGCATGTTCTCCCTGCGTTTGCGTGAGTTTCCTCCGGGTGCTCCGGTTTTCCCCACAGTCCAAAGACATGCGGTACAGGTGAATTGGGTAGGCTAAATTTTCCGTAGTGTATAAGTGTGTGTGTGAATGTGTGTGTGGATGTTTCCCAGAGATGGGTTGTGGCTGGAAGGGCATTCACTGCGTAAAAACTTGCTGGATAAGTTGCCGGTTCATTCCGCTGTGGCGACTCCGGATTACTAAAGGGACTAAGCCGACAAGAAAATGAATGAATGATAAGACGTTATGGTGACATTAGCTAGTTATCAAGCTAATGCTGACCAGGCGGAGGAACAGCAGCACAGCACAGACTGGACTTATGTGTCTGAATAGGATAGAGAGAGAGAGAGAGAGAGAGAGAAAGTCCCTCAAGAGGAGAGAGACAGAAGAGAACAGGTACAGTGTGTGTGATTTCGGATACTTTCAACTTTATAATCAAGTTTTGCCTACTCTTCATCACGAGGGAGACAATAGGAATCATTAATAAGTGAGTGTATTATGGAAGACTCAGATACATTGAACTGGATTGGAGAGGTGTTATATCCAAATCATATGCATTATAAGTTTGTAGAAGTTACACATTAAAAATACCCTTAAATATATTTTAGTACTGCTTCAGTGAACTTGACAAGTATATTAAAATCTGTTAATTTTCACTAGTTTTATTGGCATTGTTTTTCTAAGTATGCTATAAATCAGGGGTTCCCAAACTTTTCAGCCCTCCACCCCCAAAATGACAATACCAGTGATTGGCGAACCCCATTATCCTCTGAGGTGGTCAGAAATACAGAAACCTTGCATGCAATGGCGCACACACACACCAATAAACACAAGTCTATTCTTCGTTTAATTGTTTTAATGTATGTGAGTGCTTTAAATGTGCCAGAAAGTTTAACCTGGTATTATAAAATCAATCTGCTGCATATGACACTATTGCTGTGTCTTTAATATTATGTAATTACCCCATTGGTCGCAATCCAATAGTAGTAACTACAAGCTACTTTAGTAACTATAGTACTATAGTAACTACTATAGTAACAACTATTTTATTCTTTTTAGTAGGTTATGAATAAAATATGGTCATTCTTAAGGTTTAATAAAAATAAATGGATTTTTGGAAATCAAAAGCGCCGATCCGCCTTCATTGTTCCCCCACTTTAAGAATCACTGCTTTGAATGATTTAAAATTAGTTAAATATTTTGTAGACTAGAAATATATGTACTATCTTTCATTTATTTAAAAAATGTGGGCAATACATTATAGATTTATTTTATTTAAAAAAATATTATATTAATCTTATTTTCATTTTAACTATAGGGGTGCGGCCGGGTAGGGGGCCCTACAAGACAATGTGCCCAAGGGGCCTCTAAATTCTTAATATTGCCTGGTTGATGGTAACATGTTTATTAGCAATTCTTAAAAAAGAAACTCAGAAAGGTTTGGAAGGTTTGAGCGTGAGTAAAGCTTCATTTTTTTGGGTGAACTATCCTTTTAATATTTTAAGAAGTTTTATACAATTTTTTATATAAATCTTTTTGACCCATATGATGTTTTTTTTTTTTTTCTTTTTTTGTGATCTCAGGGTCTCATGTTTATGTTTGTATCATTTGTTGAATGTTTCCTTTATTATTTTTTTTTTTAGTTCTAGTTTATGTAATGTTGAAGTATTGTGTTGCATAGCATGTCTATGGTCAGAGGAAGGAACGATAATAAAATAAAACCTTAAAGGTGCTGTATGTAAGTTTTTGACTCTTTTTTTAAAGCCCTTGCACACCGGGACGCATTTCGCTCGCATTTTCTGTCAACATTTAACGCCTTGTGACTAAATAAAGGGCGCCAATGTGATCGTGCACACCACTGCGCCAAACGGCAGGCATAAAAGCATCATTTTTAAAGAAATGCCTCATGCACATTTTTTTTGTTTTGACATGCCGCGTTAAAACTTCTCCACCAATCAGATTGGCACTTTTGTTCACATGCACGGAGCTGCTGAAGTTACAGTAAACAGCACTTGGAGGCGCTCAAGTGCAAAACTGTGAATGCGAGCGCACATTGAAGAAGATGCCCAGAGGTGATATGAACGTGGAGCTGCTTATTGCTCTGCTGAACAATAATCATTTCCTCCTCGCTAGAGCTGGAGCTGCTACTTGAACCATCCATGCTTGTTCGAATCACCAGTAACTTTAACAACAAGCGTGTGAACTTCCTCTCTTCCTCTTCTTCTGTGTTATAAGCAGGGTGTCATAAGCTTAAAGTTGTGTAGCACCATCTAACATCAATAAGTGATTTTGAACTCTTCTGTTTGACGCCAGTGAAAATGGCTTGGGTTTGAATCCATAAAACGCTGACGATAAACGCAAACAAAAAGCGTCCCAGTGCGTACGAGCCTTAAAGCATAAAAACAACATAATATGTCTGCAGATATTATGAAACATGCTCAGTGAACATTCTTGTTTATCTGAAAATTAATGCTGAAGTCAGATATTCTGCTTTGAAAATGTCGTTACGTGCTGGAACGGCTGTCTTTGTTTTGGATTTTTAACACGCCCAATGCCAGTTTAGCCAATTATATTTCAACACCCTGGGTTGCCTTGGTGGACAACAGCGTATTTCATTCATTGAGTCAGAAAGGCTTATAAAGTATGCATCTGCGACTGAAATGTGACATGCGGTGGACAGTAGCAGCCTCTAAAATGAGACTCAGAATTCCACATCGGGTTATTAATTAGCAAATGACATATATATTATAAAGGTAAACATTAGGTGAGCAGGTTACATTGTAACCCCGTGTCCTAACAACAGGCTATGTGACGAGATTTGCAGTGATAAGCAATTGGGTTGTTTGCACCAGTCGAAACAGCACAGAAATTTAAATGCAGCCGTTCAGAAGCACAGAATAGTGCACTCACTGCACTCCAGTGAAATGGTAAGGTTTATAATCTAGGACAAAAACTTGATGGAAAATATTCCTTCTATCGAGTGTTGTTGCTTTTATTTAGAACACGAGAAATCAGCCTTTAGGCACAATAGTTGTGTGAACAATTATGTTGATGCTGTCAATCTGGCAACCTGCGCTTGCATGTGTTTTGAACCAGGCGTGCAAAACCATCTAACCAATCCAACTTACATACTGCACCTTTAATAATAATAGGACAGTGAATTTGTGCTGGTTGCATTTAGTGACAGAAGTCAGGTGTGTTCCTGCAGGTTTGTTTGTCTCACTGGTGGAGTTGGAGCGAGATCTTTTGCAGGACATTTCTTGGCAGCCCTGGTCTTCATTGTCAATGTCTTTGACATCATCGTCTGACACCTTTATAATTGGCATCTGCAAAAATACACAAAAGTGGACAGTAAACAGTTATTGGTTCACATAAGACACACCAACCTGACACATAAGACACACCGACTTTTTTTGTTGCCTTTTTTAGTGTGCTGCGCTTTTTATGTCGCTAGGCAACCACCCAATCAGCTGCGTATTGTTTGTGAGCGCAGCTTTTGATATTGTTATAATTGTTATATTTAAAGAGCCCTTATTTAGCATTAAAATAGGTCATATTTTATTTTTAGGGGTCTCCAACAACAGGCTGATATGCATGCAAGGTCAAAAAATGCTTTCATTGTCTTGTAATATGCATTTATTTTTACACAATTATCCCAGCGGCTCCCATTTGATTCGTTCAGCGATTCATTTGTCCCCAAATATTTTAAGGCGTAACTAGGTTAATTAGGTTAACTAGACAGGTTATGGTAATTAGGCAAGTTATTGCATAACGATGGTTTGTTCTGTAGACTATCAAAAAAAAAAAAAAAAATAGCCTAAAGGGGACTAATAATTTTGTCCTTAAAATGGTGTTTAAACAATTAAAAACTGATTTCATTCTAGCCGAAATAAAACAAACAAGACTTTCTCCAGAAGAAAAAAATATTATCAGACGTACTGTGATAATTCCTTTGCTCTGTTAAACATAATTTGGGAAATATTTAAAAAAGAAAAACAAATTCAAAGGGGGACTAATAATTCTGACTTCAACTGTATGATGAAACCCAGGATTCATATGGTCATGAAAAACCTGGAAAAGTTTTGGAAAAGTCATGGAAATTAGTTTAACAAATATCTGTGTGCTTGGATATAGGTTAGTTGTCTTCTTTTCTGTCCATGCCCAAACACATGCTCTTACATTATAATTGCTGTCTGAGCATTATCTAAACATATATATGAAGATTAATTTAAACTAAATAGATTGTCACATGTTTATGATATGCTGCAATGAAGGTGCATTGTTTTTCTTTTGATTTACCACTCATACATAGACGTCACATAACATAAAACATTAAGTCATGAAAATTTACTTGAAAGTTCTGGAAAAGTCGTTAAATTTTAGTGGTAAAAATGTGTAGGAACCGTGTAAACCCCTAATTTAACTGTAATTGAACTTGTTAATATCGATTATATTTTATTTATAGTAATTTATTATTATTATTATTATTATTATTATTATTTAGTAGTAGTAGTAGTAGTAGTAGAAGTAGTAGTAGTATTATAAAACTGTTAGTACTTTGTCCTTTTATTATTTCTGTATATATTATTTCTTATACAATATATTTTTTCAAACTGGTAAGATGTCTATAAAAGATCATTTGTTAAACTGTAGAGTGTACAGTTTTATTGTTTTTTTAATATTATGATGCTTTTATTATTATTTTTTATTATCAAAAATATTTATTATTATTATTATTATTATTAATTGTATGATTTTTGTTATGATGGTAATGGTGATGATGATGATGATGATGATGATGATGATGATGATGACAATAATTTATTATTCTTATTATGATGATGTTGATTATGATTATAATTATTATTATACTTTTTATTATTTGTAGTATTATTATGTATTTTTATAATAGTAATAATAATAACAATAATAATTTTATTATTATTATTATTATTGTTATTATTTATTATTATTATTATTATTATTATTATTTTAATGATTTTGGTCATTATTATCATTTATTATTATTAAAATCACATTTCAATTACATTTAATTAATAAAAATATTTAAAATAGTAGTTTATTATTTTATGCAATCTTTATCATTAGATTATTTTTATTATTTAATTTATATTTTTATTTGTTTATATTTTATCAATATTAATAATAATATTGATATTTAAATGTATTTAAACTTATACATTTTTTCTAGTTTTTGTCACGGTTGTGGTGGGGAAAAGGAGCGAGGACTCAAGTGCAAAGAAACAATGGGTATTTATTAATAATAAAATAAAAATAAAAAGCAAAACAAAACTACCCCGAGGGGGAAAACATTAACAAAACACACAAACTTGGCTCAACAAGAACAAGGCAAGACTCAGGACAAGGATCAGGAACACGGGGAGTGTAGACAACGAACTGGCAAAGGACTGAAAACATGAGGGGGATTATAAAGCAAAAAGTAAATTGACACACAGGTGAACACAATTGACTAATAATGGGTTAACAAAGAGGGTGGGACTAGACAATAGACAGGAGAGCGCATGACACAGAGAGACAATACAAGCCATGCGCTCACATAACACAACACTGAAGCACACGACAAAAGCACGTGACCACAATGTATACACCGAGCCACGTGCTTTGACAAAAGACGCAAGACACGAGCACACGATGAATGAAAGCACTCACCGCGCGCTCACACACGCAGCGTGCATGCTTCATCCCAGCGCCGACCAAAACCGAAACCAACAAGACTGAGACGCTGGGAATGAAACACCACGCTGCTGACAAACGAAAACACAAACACGAGTACAAGAGCGCACGCGTCTGAGGGACGCAGAGCACGCGCGCGGCCGCGTCAAGCAGAAGCGCGCACACTCTGCGTACACCCACGACGGCGCGCGCGCACACAGAGACAGAAACAGGACCGGACATGGGTAGTGTCAGAGCTCTGCCACCAAAACAAGAATTTACAAAGACCAGAGTGGCAGAACCCTGACACTAGCCCCCCCCAAAAGGGACGCCACCTGGCGTCCCTAAAGGGAACATCCAACAAGGTACAAGACAGACAAGAAACACCACAAGACAACATCAGACACAAGACAGGGTAGTGAACAGGCAAGACGACATGAAGGGGGGGAGGGAGGGAAGCCAAGCCGGACTCAACAAGACAAACAAGGGAGGGATGGGAGGGCAAGACCAGGGAGGATCAGGAGGGACAGTCCAGGATGGATTCAGTGGGTCGGGGGCCCCGGCAGGGAGCCAGGGTGGAGCCGGAGGGTCCGTCCAGGGTGCAGGGAGGGAACACCAGGGAGGAGCAGGAGGGACGACCCAGGGAGGGTCTATGAGGGGAAACAAGGCTGGAGGCCTGTGGGGAGCCGGCTGGGCTGGGGGCCTGTGGGGAGCCGGCTGGGCTGGAGGCCTGTGGGGAGCCGGCTGGGCTGGAGGCCTGTGGGGAGCCGGCTGGGCTGGAAGCGGCAGGGCAAGGAGCCGGGTTGGCGCCGGCAGGGCAAGGAGCCGGGCTGGGGCCGGCAGGGCTAGACGTCTGGTAGGTGCCGGCAGGGAAAGGAGCCGGGTTGGGGCCGGCAGGGCTAGACGTCTGGGTGGCGTCGGCAGGGCAAGACGTCTGGGTGGCGCCGGCAGGGCAAGGGGCCGGGTTGGGGCCGGCTGGGCAAGACGTCTGGTTGGGACCGGCAGGGCAAGGAGCCGGGCTGGGGCCGGCAGGGCTAGACGTCTGGGTGGTGCCGGCAGGGAAAGACGTCTGGGTGGTGCCGGCAGGGCAAGGAGCCGGGCTGAAGCCGGCAGGGCAAGACGTCTGGGTGGCGCCGGCAGGGCAAGGCGTCTGGGTGGCGTCGGCAGGGCAAGGAGCCGGGCTGGTGCCGGCAGGACTAGACGTCTGGGTGGTGCCGGCAGGGCAAGGAGCCGGGCTGAAGCCGGCAGGGCAAGACGTCTGGGTGGCGCCGGCAGGGCAAGGCGTCTGGGTGGCGTCGGCAGGGCAAGGAGCCGGACTGGGACCGGCACTGAGCTGCGCTCTGGGGCTGGAGCCGACACTGGAGGGCGCTCAGGGGCTGGAGCCGACACTGGAGGGCGCTCAGGGGCTGGAGCCGACACTGGAGGGCGCTCAGGGGCTGGAGCCGACACTGGAGGGCGCTCAGGGGCTGGAGCCGACACTGGAGGGCGCTCAGGGGCTGGAGCCGACACTGGAGGGCGCTCAGGGGCTGGAGCCGACACTGGAGGGCGCTCAGGGGCTGGAGCCGACACTGGAGGGCGCTCAGGGGCTGGAGCCGACACTGGAGGGCGCTCAGGGGCTGGAGCAGACACTGGAGGGCGCTCAGGGGCTGGAGCAAGTATGGTGGAGGAGCCCTTTCTCCTCCTACGCTTCCTTATTTTTGGTGGCGGGAAGCTGGCCACCTCTTCAGACACTGCTGGGCACTCCACTACCTCTGAAAGTGTTGCAGTGTCTGTTTCGGGCACCTCGAGGGATGTTGCTGCCGCCAGGGTGGTTGCTGGATGGGCTGCAGTGGGTTCAGTCACCTCTAGGTGGGTGACAGGTGAGGGGGGCCCGTTCTTCCTCCTCCGTCTCCGTTGGTGGGTCATCGGAGGACTGGGGATTTGGCAGTCTGTGAGCGGGATTGGCGGTGGGCCAAGGGGAGGCAGGCCACCGTCTCCCTGGCTGTGGTACAAATAGCTCACAAACTGCCAGAATGACAGTATCCCCAGCATCCCCATCTCCCAGGCCTGAAGGGGGCTGTTGAGTCCAGCATTGAAAGCCTCCTTCAGTGCTGTGGTGGTAAACTCAAGCCCCTCTGCTGCGTAGACAAACTGGTTGGCAAACTCCTTGACTGAAGATTCCCCTTGATGAAGACCAAAGAGTTTGCCCAAACGTTCTTCTGCTGGCATGCAGAGGGACGTGAACTGGGAGATGGGAAAAGGAAGATACCCATATTTCTGCTGAGTCCTCTGTTATGGCCAGTTCGTACTGTCACGGTTGTGGTGGGGAAAAGGAGCGAGGACTCAAGTGCAAAGAAACAATGGGTATTTATTAATAATAAAATAAAAATAAAAAGCAAAACAAAACTACCCCGAGGGGGAAAACATTAACAAAACACACAAACTTGGCTCAACAAGAACAAGGCAAGACTCAGGACAAGGATCAGGAACACGGGGAGTGTAGACAACGAACTGGCAAAGGACTGAAAACATGAGGGGGATTATAAAGCAAAAAGTAAATTGACACACAGGTGAACACAATTGACTAATAATGGGTTAACAAAGAGGGTGGGACTAGACAATAGACAGGAGAGCGCATGACACAGAGAGACAATACAAGCCATGCGCTCACATAACACAACACTGAAGCACACGACAAAAGCACGTGACCACAATGTATACACCGAGCCACGTGCTTTGACAAAAGACGCAAGACACGAGCACACGATGAATGAAAGCACTCACCGCGCGCTCACACACGCAGCGTGCATGCTTCATCCCAGCGCCGACCAAAACCGAAACCAACAAGACTGAGACGCTGGGAATGAAACACCACGCTGCTGACAAACGAAAACACAAACACGAGTACAAGAGCGCACGCGTCTGAGGGACGCAGAGCACGCGCGCGGCCGCGTCAAGCAGAAGCGCGCACACTCTGCGTACACCCACGACGGCGCGCGCGCACACAGAGACAGAAACAGGACCGGACATGGGTAGTGTCAGAGCTCTGCCACCAAAACAAGAATTTACAAAGACCAGAGTGGCAGAACCCTGACAGTTTTATGTTGTTGATAATAATAATAATAATAATAATAATAATAATAATTATTATTATTATTATTATTAATGTATATAATTGTTATTGTTGTTAATAATATCATCATCATCATCATAATCATCATCATCATCATCTTCAAACTGCCAGTACTTTTCATTCATTCATTTTCTTTTCGGCTTAGTCCCTTTTAAAATCATAGGTTGCCACAGTGGAATGAACCACCAACTTATCCAGCAATTATTTTATGCAGCGGATGCCCTTCAAGCTGCAACCCATCACTGGGAATAGGAACTCTGCTATTGATCTTTATAAATTATTTCTTATACAACATACTGGTTTCAAACTGCTAAGATGCCAATAAAAGTCCCTTTGGTAAACTGCAGATTTTAATTATTACCATCAAAAGTCGACAGAGCAGAAATCAATGTCACATGATGCGATATTATTACCACAAATAAACGGAAAATGAATCGCAAAATACGGAAACTGTCAAGTAACGGACTTTTTTACACTGTTATTGAAGCTAAAAATGCGTTACGAAGGATACATCTGAGGATTTTCCATCTGAAAGGAAAAAAAACAGGCTTTTCTTCCCACCTGCAAGTTATTGTTGTTTCCCATTGGCTCCTTTTCTCCATAGCCGTAGCCAAGCTGCTGGGATTCAGTGGTGTTAGTGAAAAGAGCTCTGTTTTCAGTGAAAGCCTGGAAAAAAAAACACACACACAGATCAAGGCCAAGGTCAGATTTATTGTCTCCCTTAGGAGAGATTTGTTGTTAGAAAAACAGGTCTGCTATACACAGACCTCCACAAGACAAAATTTACTGTAACATACACATAAAAATTCCTGAAATACATCCTAATATGAATAGTTTCATTAAAACAATAATTGTGCCCCCACCGCCTACTGTTATGCCAAACAATACAGTTATCTTATTCTTAAACCATCCATAATTCCTCATTATTCAATTGATCTAAAACAGGAACAAAGTAATATTATATCTATTATACCTGCATTAAGGAACCCTATATCTTCTGCCAGAATTCAGCTCACACTCCAAAACCTGCTGCAGTTCTCCTCAAAGTATGGATGAATGATCGTCATACAGTACACCATCAGCTCTGCTACCGTCTCTCTTTTCTGTCCCCAATCTGATTAACTGCTGCTGGGTTTTGGGATCTGCTCAGTGTCCTGAATGGATGCTCTATTAGAAGTCTGTTTAATCATATTTGACCTGTGCATTTCAGATCTGATTTAAAGAGGGGCACAACCCATGCTTTAATGCTTATGTGGTGTTTGCTAGCATCTCTTTTGCTCCTTTTTATTATAGGGGCTAGTAAGTATATAAATTTTCAAATTTGGTTGTTTATCTAACTTCATGGCTATATATATATATATACAGTTGAAGTCAGAATTATTAGCCCCCCCTGAGTTATTAGCACCCCTGTTTATTTTTTCCCCAATTTCTGTTTTGTTCTGGGAAGATTGTTTCAGCACATTTCTAAACATAATAGTTTTAAAAACTTATTTCTAATAACTGATTTATTTTATCTTTGCCGTGATGACAGTAAATAATATTTTACTTGATATTTTTCAAGACACTTTTATACATCTTAAAGTGACATTTAAAGGTTTATCTAGGTTAATAGGGTGAACTAGGCAGGTTAGGGTAATTAGGCAAGTTATTGTATGACGATGGTTTGTTCTGTACATTATCGGAAAAAAAATTAGCTTAAAGGGGCTAATAATTTTGTCCCAAAAATGTTTTTTTTTTTTAATTAACAACTGCTTTTATTTTAGCCGAAATAAAACAAATAAGACTTTCCCCAGAAGAAAAAATATTATCAGACATACTGTGAAAATTTCATTGCTCTGTTAAAAATCATTTGTGAAATATTTAAAAGAGAAATTCAAAATCAAAAGGGGGCTAATAATTCTGACTTCAACTGTATATATATATATATATATATATATATATATATATATATATATATATATATATATATATATATATATATATATATATATATATATATATATTTTTTTTTTTTTTTTATTCTTTTTTTTTTTTTTATTAAT